ACATTTATCTAATGTCTGCTGTTGCAACCGCCACTGCTATGATTATCAGTTTCCATGTACTGAGCACTCGCTATATCTCCAGCTTTATGATTATGCCTGTGTGACAAGGTCAAATAAGACATTGTTCCTGCCCCTAGAAGAACTCAAAGCCCAGTGGAGACAGACAAGTCAACTGTCTTACAATCTGGCAAAGGCTATGATGGAGTGGCTTCAAGATCAGACAGGAGAGATGCTAGTTCTAGGACCTAGACTTCAGACTGTTATCATTAACTCTATAATGCACAAGACTGAACTGATGATAGCTGACACATAGCACCTACTATGCTGGGCACAGTTCTGTTTTCCAGGTTTATTTATTTACTCATTTATTTATTTATTTGAAAGGCAGAATTACGGAGAGAGAAAGAGGAAGAGACAGACAGAGAGAGAGAGAAAGAGAGAGACCTTACATTGGTGGTTCATTCCCCAAATGGCCACAATGGTCAGGGTGAGGCCAAGCCAAAGCCAACGGTCAGAAATTCATCCAGGTCTCCCAGTGCCATCTCCCACTGCTGGATCAGGTGCATTAGCAGGGAGCTGGATCAAAAGAGGAGCAGTTAGGACTCAAACCAGCACTCATATGGGATGCTGGCATCACAGGTGGTTGTTTAACCCACTTTGCCATGTTAGCTCCCAGGCATAGTGTTAAGTGCCATTGATATAAAATACTTATAGCAGTCCTGTGAAATAGGTACTGTGATGATATCTTCATGTTTTAGAGGCTCCACGAGGTTGAGTAAGTTCCCCAAGGTCATGGAGCTTGGGAGCAGTGAGGGGAGACTTGATTGCAGGTCTCTGGCCTAGAGTATTTGTTCTTAAGTATCTCTGTATTCCATCACTGAAACAAGTTTATTAACCATCTTAGAAATACCACCATCATTTATAACTATTTTGATGATAAAATAAATTTTGAGTGCCAAAGTTCAGACTCATGGAGAAATTTTCATAACATGTATTTTAAGTTAGGGAACTGCCTGGGGCTTCCTTGTCCAGTAAGAGAAGTACACATATCATGATAAATGGCTTACTGGACACTGTAAATTCTGGGTAAAATGTACTATAATATTAATAATATTGATAACGCTAGTGATAAGGTCAAAGATGCCACCCTTGGGGCTTCAATTGTTCAGAGACACTGTATTTTCTTTTGTTGTTAACAAAATTCATGATGTAAGGTTACTTTAAGAAAGCAAAAACAAAACCCACTTATAAGAGAACTTCAGGTTTTTTTTTTAATTTAACATTTGGCTTTTTTATTTTTATTTATTTATTTGACAGGCAAAGTTACAGACAGTGAGAGAGAGAGACAGAGAGAAAGGTCTTCCCTCCACTGGTTCACTCCCCAAATGGCCACCACAGCCAGAGCTGAGCCGATCCAAAGCCAGGAGCCAGGTGCCTCTTCCTGGTCTCCCATGTGGGTGCAGGCGCCCAAGCACTTGGGCCATCCTCCACTGCCTTCCCCGGGCCACAGCAGAGAGCTGGACTGGAAGAGGAGCAGCCGGGACTAGAACCTGGCTCCCATATGAGATACTGGTGCCGCAGGCGGAGGATCAACCAAGTGAGCCATGGCACTGGCCCCGAGAGAACTTCAGTTATTAAAAGTAGGGAAGCAATGCACTGTTTAGAACATTATACCTGCTCCATGCTCTTGCTCCCTTGAGAAAATCACTAAGACATAACCTTCATGCTGTAGTGCAAGAAGTACTACTCAACACTGTCTTCTCATTAGACAGCCCTGGATAAAGACGGGCAGGCAAAGGGGAGAAAGGGTTTGCCACTGTTTGTGAAACCGATTCCACAGAAGGGATGGCATTTTCTCAGATTTAGGAGGAAATTTGGAGACCATTCTCTCCTACCAGGTTGCTTTTACAGATCTCTTACTTTACTTGGACTTATCACAGAAGTTATGCCTCACTAACGCCTCAGTGGCTACCTCTTCTTGAAAAATAACCCATTTGAAAAGCTGGATACTTTGAACACTGAATTTTTTTTTGTTCCCCAAATAAGAATTGAGTTTTGAATGTAAGTTAAGCAAACATTTATTTAATGAATACACGGACAGCTGACCACACACTTGCATATGCAGTAATAACCGTCTTTGATAGATAAATAAATAAATAAATAAATAGGACAAAGTTGACAATTTCCTCTGATCTAAAAATGAGCTTCTTTTAGTTTTCTCTCTGGGTTTTCATAACTTCCAGGGCCTTGCTTCTTAAGGCTATAAATGCACCAGGCTTGGGCTGGAGCAGCTCCCTGCATGCAGAAGGGTTGTTGTGAGTGTCAGGGGCTGAACCACAACCCTACCCCAACTCACATGTTGAAGGTCCAACTCCCCGTGATGGCTGTTGGCCTTGAGAGAGCTAATGAAGGCAGAATGAAGTGATTAGGGTGGGCCCTATTCTGATGACCAGCATCCTTAGAAGGGAAGGCTAGGACATAGGCATACAGGGAAGGCCATTTGAAGACACAGAGAGAGAAGACAGCCATCTGCCAGCCAAGGAGAGAGGACCTGGGAGAAAGCAGCCCTGCTGACACTTTGAACTCAGATGTCTAACCCTGAGAACTGTGAAAATATAAATGTTGTTTAAGTCACCCAGTCCTTGATTCTGTGTTATGACAGCCTGAGGAAAATAACGCATGTTCTAATAGTAAGACCTAGTGACTCCAACATTCCCAAAGAGCTTCTATCCAGAGCCCTGTAAAGACAGGTTCCTGAGCTTGTCAATATCGTTATAAACAACCTGAAGGCTTCATGAGTTCACTCAACAGAACATGTATTGAGTTTATCCTGTACATTAAGTACTGAGCTATGAATGGCAAGGACAGAAAGATGAGCCCCCAGGGGTGGCGCTGTGGTGCAGAGGGTTAAGCTGCTGCCTGCAATGACGGTATCCTGTATGGGAGAACTGGTTCAAGTCCCCACTGCTCAGCTTCTGATCCAGCTCCCTGCTAATGGGCCCACAAAGGCAGCAGATGATAGTCCAAGGGCTTAGGTCTTTGCTACCCATGTAGGAGATGAGGATGGAGTTCCTGGTTCCTGATGTTGGCTTAGCTAAGTCCTTGTCATTGCAGCCACTGGGGAGTAAACCAGCAGACGGAAGATTTCTCTGCCTCCCTCTCTCTCTCTAACTCTGCCTATAAAATAAATAAATCTTTAAAAAACAAACACAAAAATATGATCACGCAAGTATCTCAAATAAGATCCCTAATCACCCTCAAGGAATTCACAATTGGAAGAGGAGACAGCCACATACAGAGTTCAGTTCAATATGCTGTGATCAGTGAGACTGTGGTCTGCACAGAATAGCTAAGCACTGAGGACTGTGGGAACTCCACTGGGATGTAGGGGGGCTGCCAAATTGAGGGGCACATCTAACCAAGTCTTTGGGGCAGAGTGGGAGTTTGCCAGGTGGATGAGACAAGACAGACAGACATTGTCAGTGACCTGGATACCAGTGACAGAGGCAGGGAAGCAGGGAAATGTCCAGAACGTCAGGTAATGAATGAGACGTGCAGGCTAACGGCACTCAGAATGTGTAAAGAGGGAGGATAGAGCAGAGACTGAAGAATTAGAGTCAGTGGGGCATGCCAAATTTGGATTAGGGGCCAGTGCTGTGGTGTGGTAGGTTGGGCCTCTGCCTGTAGCTCCGGCATCCCATATGGGTGACAGTTCGAGTCTCGGCTGCTCCACTTCCCATTCAGCTCCATGCTGATGGCCTGGGAAAGCAGTGGAAAGTGGCCCAAGTGCTTGGGGTCCAGCACCCGCATGGGAAACTCGGAAGAAGCTCCTGACTCTTCGCTTTGGATTGACCCTGCTTCTGCTGTTGCAGCCATTCAATGGGGGAGTGAACCAGCAGATGGAGGGCCTCTCTCTCTGCCTCTCCCTCTGTCTGTAACTCTGCCTCTTGAGCAAAAAAAAATAAATATTAAAAAAAAAGTTTGGATTTAAATCTGAAAGCAGTGGGGGCATCGCCAGAGATTTTCAAAAGGAAAAGTCCTGATCACACTTGCTCTGAGCATGGTGTCTCTGGTGTGCAGAGAATCAAGTGGCATTGAGACAGGAAGGCTGCAGAGAAAGCAGGGGGCATAGAGGACCACAGGGACCTGAACGAAGGTGAGGGTGCTGGGGGGAGAAGGGCACTGCTGCTTTAGAGTCCCTGGTGTTCAGAGGTGGGGTCGAAGGGGACTGTCAGGTTACACTGTGAGCATTGCAACACGTTCACAGGTGCAAACAGCAAAAGGCTGCCAACTGCGTGGTACTGGACAGGAGTCATTCTATTTTCCCCTGTATCAATGTGTAAATGAGTATCATTGCTCCCTTAAACATACAGAATTATTATCTATTTAACAAAATACTGATGATCTTATTTACTTTTTAAGAATTAATTTCAAAAGAGCTACATTTGGGGCTGGCACTGTGGCACAGCAACGGGTTAAGCCACCCGTTGTGATACCAGCATTCCATATGGGTGCCAGTTGGTGTCCTGGCTGCTCCACTTCTGATTCAGTTCCCTGCTAACACACCTAGGAAAGCAGCAGCAGATGGCCCAAGTGCTTGGGCCCCTGCCACCCACATGGGAGATCCAGATGGAGATCTTTCTCCCTCTCTCTGTAACTCTGCCTTTCAAATAAATAATACATCTCTATTTAAGGGGGTTGGGGTGGGAGGGAAGAAGAGAGAGAGAGAGAGAGCACGCGAGAGTAAGCGAGCTACATTTCCTTTCTTGTGTTTTGCTTACATTGGGAGGATTGTTCCTCAAAAAAGTACAGTATAACTGGATGCAGTTAAAAATAGGTAAATGTTATTATATGTCATCCTAGCAAGTCTGGCATTTTTGTGATCCCTCCAAGTTGGACTTGGAAAGTCCTATTTGAGGCAATAGGAAATCTTGGAGAACACAGGCACCTGGAACTAATCTGAGCTTTCTCACTACCTACCTTGAGTACTGGACAAGTTGACTCAGGCTGGCTAGGCCTCTGCCTTCTCATTTCTAAAAGGAGAGAGGGATTCATTTATTATCCCTAAGACTTTCCTTCCGTGAAGAACGACTGCTCTTAGGTCGTAAGACACATTTTTTTCTTTTTAAGTTTTAAAAAGAAGATTTTAAATTTTGCTGAAATCGATTTCTTGGAAAGTTTACCGAACTTGTCAGACGCTTTGGAGATTCACTAAAACAAACGACGCCTCGTGCGCGTTTAAAGCAGTGCTATTCTGGGGTACAAAGATGTTCAGGGAAATAACCTTAAACCTCTGTAGATTCAACCACGTCTTGCAGTGAGCAACACAACCAATGAGCGATGCTTCTGGAAACAAATCCGAAGAGTTGAACGGAGTCATACGACTTCAGGAAAATTCACAAGCCAGTTGATTCCTCTTCCCTTTCTTGGGAAACTTGTCTCTGCAGATGCAAAGGGGCGCTGGGTCCTCTGGAGGCGACAGCAAGCCGGGCGGGGCGGGTTCTCCAATGCCTTCCCTCCCCACCTGCCGGCCGGATTCCCTCTGCAGCTCTGTCTGATAAGGAACTGCTTCTCCCCCACCCTCGCTCTCCTTCGCCCCGAGTAACGATGCTGTCCTAGCGAGTGATGCTGTCGGAGACTGGAGACCGGCGCGCAGGAGGCACCGCCGCCACCGCGGGGCCGGGGCGTCCTTCCCAGCGCCCGCGCCCGCGCCCGCGCCCCGCTCCGCCCCGGGCTTCTTCCTCGCAGCCACGGCCACCGCGGCTGCTCCCAGGGGTTGATGGTGGGCGGCGGCGGCTCGGCTTCGTCTCTCGCCTCTAACTGCTCCATCTCCGGCCGCGCCGCCCTCGCCTCCTGCCTTCCCGCCCTGCGCTGCCTGGAGCTGCGGGAGGTGGGGAAGGGGCGCTGCCCGGAGACCGCGCGGCCGCGGCGGTGGCGGAGGCCGGCGGCCGGCATCCCCGCGCTCGGACCACAGCCGGCGCGATGTCCACCAAGGTCAGGAAGTGCAAGGAGCAAGCGAGGGTGACCTTCCCAGCTCCGGAGGAGGAGGAGGAAGAGGGCGAGGACGAAGGCGCGGAGCCGCAGCGTCGTCGCCGGGGTTGGAGAGGCGTCAACGGGGGGCTGGAGCCGCGCTCGGCGCCCTTGCGGCGCGAGCCGCATGGCTTCTGCCCGCCGCCTTTCTCCCCCGGGCCGGACCTGTGAGTACCCCGCGGGGCCGGGGTCCGCGCCTCGGCTGGGCGGCGCCTGGGGCGGGGGCGGGAAGGCTCGTCTGGGGTCGCTTTGCCACGTGCCCAAGCCCACTGAGCTCGGCGCGGTGAGTGCGACTTGGGGCTACTTCGAGAGCGCAGACCTCGGGCCGCGGTCGTCCCTAGGCTCCTGCTCTGTGAAGGGACTTGGGGGGCGTCGACGGCGTGGCGGGGGTGCCGTCCGGGATAGCCCCGCAGACGGGCGCACACACACACACCTGACACGCACCCCGGCGGGCAGGCGCTCCCTCAGCCAGACGTGGGGCGCGCGCGCGCGGCCGTCATGGGGGGCAGAGGAAAAACGCACGTGGGGTCCGCGAGCTGAGCCCGGGGGCCAAGGCAGGGGAGGCGCGCGCGCACCCGGGCGCTCACTTGAACCTCGAACTCCTGCCAGCGTCCCGGCGTGGAGCGGCCTTGGGAGCTTGGGTCCCGTGTCGGGACGGGGGCAGAGAAGTGGGGTGGAGCGGGGGGAACGGATTGGGACACAGCGTGTGGGCCGAAGGTCTGCCCGGGCGCCTGGTCTCGCTGCGTTCCGTTCGCAGGTGGAGGGGACTCAGAACCGAAGCCGTCGCATGTCTCCTGCAGAACGAGTGGGCGCGCGGCGGCCGCTGGGCCGCCTCAGTGCTAACTTTGGCTGCGGTTCCCAGGGTTCGGTGGCTGCTCCCTTTCTTTTTTCTTTTTTCGTTTCTTTTTTTTTTTTTTTTTAAGCGATAGAGCTGTAGGCGCTGTGGCGTGTGAAAAAGCGGCTTTGCTTAGTTTCCAGCCTTGGTGACAGCCTTTGATCAGTTGGGAGACGCAGAGATGATACAGAATGATATCAACTTGTCAGGGGTGAGGTGCTCTGTGTTCCTCTGGTGTGTCCCTTAGGCGTGTCACCGAATTTTCTGTCTTGGGGGAAGTTTAGTACACCGACCCAGGTACAGAACTTGGACACACAGGGTGGCGGGGCGGAGAGCCGGGTTCGACCAGAGAGGGGACCGAGGTTCTGGAGCGCCCCCTACTGCCCGCGGGCTGCCCGCTGCCCGGGTCCGAGGCCTCCGGGGCGACACCGGGACGCACCACAGCGCCCACTTTGGCGGTGCGTGGCTGGCTCAGAGCTGGCGCCCGGCCTGGCTGAACTGGTCTGTAGAACACAGAAACAGAAATCAGTGGCTGGGAGCAGATCCCGCAGGGAATGATTCTGCTTTAAAATGAGCACTGCGTGCGAATGTGGTTCAGTTATTACTGAAGATTAGTGTGTTGTGGAAACAGCTCGGGAAAGGACGGGAAGGCATATTCTTTGGGATGAAACCGCCATCAACTCGTTTTCCTGCCTGCCTAAGATTGAGAGTTGTCCGTTTTTCCTTTTGCCAGGTTGATTTTCATAACCTAACTCAATTTGTTTAAAAATCGTTTCTCTTCCACCTTAACCCAGACTAAATGGGACGCCTGAACACTTACTTATCTGGGAAAGTAGGGCGGAGCAGCTATTGCTGTGCGCACGTTGGAAGTTTGAGGTCAGTCACGCAAAGCTCTGGGGCAGGTGCTGTTGCTAACTGCTAGTAGACCGTCTTTGCAGGGTGTCAACGGACTTTAATAATTCAACAGGTCCTAGTCGAGGGGCTCCCAGTCACTCGTGGGAGTTCCACTCTGATAAACGTATCTGTCCAAGGGAGGGCGACAGGCCCTTGCTGTTTAGTTGGGGCCTGTTACTTGGTAACATCAGACCAGCTTGACATCTGTCACAGAGATCAGTTCTGTGTTCCACTTTCAAATAGAATATGGCCACTGTTGTGTAGTAAACGGCATTTATTTATTGCTGTTTAAGAACAAACACAGTGGCCTTAGGCTGGACTCAGAACAGGATGCCCTGGGCTGTCAAAGTCTAGAGGCGTTTTTAGTCGACAAAATAGCACAGCTGAATTTAAAATTTTTTAAAGATTTTATTTATTTATTTATTTAGAGTTACAGACAAAAAGAAGGAGAGGCAGAGAGAAAGGTCTTCCATCCACTCGTTCATTCCTCAAATGGCAGCAACGGCCAAGGCTGGGCCTATCCGAAGCCAGAAGCCAGGAGCTTCTTCTGAATCTCCCATGTGGATGCAGGGACCCAAGGACTTGGGCCATCTTCTACTGCTTTCCCAGGCCATAGCAGAGAGCTGGATCAGAAGACGAGCAGCCAGCACACAAATCGATGTCCTTTTGGGATGCTGGCTTCACAGGCAGAGGCTTAACCTGCTACGGCACAGTTCCGGCCCCTGAATTTAAAATTCTATAGGATACTGAGGCTAGAATCCCACTTGTACCAAATGATGATATTGATAATAATAATCCCTCAGGGAAAACACTGTTGTTCTTTTCAACTGTTCCATGTTTCAGTATTCCATGTGGGAATTTCAGGCAGACTTTAGAGGAATTGGTTACTGTTATGTCATTAACAAGATTTTTTAAAATTCTTTGATGGAAGTTGAGTCAAATCAAGACTTTCTTTATCTTAATTGTTTACAAACCTATGACCAAGTAATATGTCATCATAGAGATTACCTCATTTTTCAAGTTATTCAGTGTATCTGATGAACTTCAAAAAGGCATTTGAATGCAGTATTCATGAGTTTCCATTCATTTCTCTAGCTTGTACATGTGCAAAGTGGAGGCTGGTGCAGTAACTCCAAAGATGAGTTTGACAGCTTTCCTGCACTTGAGCTTAAAATCTTATGAGGAAGAGGTGAGAATGAGTCAGGACATGAGCAACTATGCTGTCAATTAGAGTAAAATATGTAGCAAAAATATGTAAATGTAAATATACAGATGGGGCTGTGAAGGGTCAGTTGTAAAGGAGAGAAGAACATTGGATGGTTGTGGAGAAATCAAGGAAAGCTTCGTGGGCCTTGAAGGCTACACGGGGTGAGAGGCAGAGACAAGCTGGTTAATTATCCAAGCCCCCTCCTTCTTTTCCCACCTGGCAAAGTCAGGCATATCTTGGAATGTTAGTTGAGTGTAGTCATAGAGTATATATAAGGGAGCAGTGAGGTTTGCTGATTTGAAGCATCCATGTGGAAGGTCTCCCGTGCCAGGACAGGACAACAGGGAGCCATTGATCGTTGCAAACCAGGAACAATCTGATCAAAGCCATGCTGAGAGCAGGATGGATTGAAGTTGCAATTGACAGAATGTGAAGAAACAAAATTAGGAGGCTATTGTAGCTTTCCAGAGTGAGATTTGGATTTGTTGTGTAGTGTGTAGTATCAGCGGCTTGGAAAGGAAAGAGATTGGAAAAAGAATACACACACAAAGAGAATCTCTGGGATCTCGCACCTCCCTGCCCATGAGGGATTTACAGAGAAAGCAGGATTGTGCATGATGAGATGATTCTGACATGCCTAACAAGGTTGTTGATGTCATTGTTGGAAAGAACAAGAAAAGGATCTGACTTTTCCAGAAAATTCTGATAAAGGTGTCAGACAGAAAGATGAAAATCAAATTTAAAGCTTGAGAGAGTTTGTGAGTTTGCTTTCTGATAGGAGTTGTTGTGCACCTATGTGAAATGATTGAAAGAAGGAGTAAGCAGAGAGCAACAAAGGGAGCCCACGCTAGCTTTCTGGGGGAAACATTTTTGTCTGGAGGGCAGTGAAAAGGAGCAGCCAGCAAAGGACACAGAAGGCACAGAGGATCAGGCTGTTATCCAGGCCAGGCTTTCTAGAGAAGAGTTTGAAGAAACGGGAAGAACTGAAACACAGACCTCAGGAAAGCAGGAGAGAAATTTATGAATCTACTTTTAGTAAGAAGACTCAGTCTTTGTATATGCTACCATATCTGCACAGGATCATTAGATTTCTCCACAAATGCTATATTTAACGGAGGAAGATTCCTAGAAAAGAGAATTACGTTTATGTTTTCTTCAGAGGAAGTGCTGCTAAAGGTTAGTCATAATAAGAGCAAGAATTGTGTTTACATAATACTTCATACTGTTGTTTATACTTGTGAAAGTGAACCACATGTCTTTAAAGCAGGCTTTAAAAAATATTGGTTTTCATCTAATTGAAAGAGAGCAGGAGAGATGTCTTCCACTTACTGGTTCACTCCCTCCAAATGCCCACAAAAGAAAGGGCTGGGCCAGGCCAAACCCAGGAGCCTAGAACTCCACCCATGTCTTCCATGTGCGTGGCCGGTGCCAGAGCACTTGGGCCATCTTCTGCTGCCTCCCAGGGTACACTAGCAGGAAGCTTGATAGCAAAGGAGACAGGACATGAACCTGCATTCCAGGATGGGATACAGGCATCGTGGCTGCTTAACCTGCTGCACCACAACACAGGTCCAAAATTTATATTTTAATTGCATTTTCCATGAACTTTTTGAAGGGGGACTTGTTTCAGAGCATCTAACGCTCAGCTCTCTATGACAGGGGAGTGACAGGTGAGTTCAGGGTGACTTATATCCCAGCTTATCTAGCTGGATGTTAGCTTCTGTGGCACCTGCCTTTTATGAATGTTGGAGTCTTGGCTGAGCTTGGTTGTGGGCTGAAGAGCAGTGTGGTGTATGCTGGCTTAGGCATCAGGAAGCAGCATCTTCTTCCACCTCTGGCACAGAAGTCAGAATATTTCCCATGGGGAAGGAGTCTGGACTCTGAGGACTGAGTCAGACTGGTGCATTAAGGAAGAGGCAGGCTTCTCTGTAGGAGCAGGTACTCCTCAACAGCAGCACAACATGGCATCAGTCTTGAGGCCTGTAATAATCTGAAAACCTTCATCGTATTATCACTGTATGTCCTGGGTGAATGAGTTCACTATATACAATATAGAGTAGGCATTTTTTGTCAAGTTTTATTTTTAAATTATTTTTATATAATAGCAAAGGAACACATGAGTATAGTTTTGAGTTAGATAGTGCTAAATGGTTTCTAAGAATCAACAAGTCCCCAGTAGTCCTCAGGGTCTCCTCTGTTTCACTCCACTTTTAACTCCTTCATATACTGCT